GGGGTCCCTGGAGTTCTACCCACCCTGAGGGGACTGTTCTGGGGGTCCCTAGAGTTCTACCCAGGCCCAGAGGTGGAGCGAGGGCTCAGCGAGTGAAGAACAGAGGCTGTCGCCAGTAGGCAGATGGGAGGTAGGCTGGGCGTGTGGCCCACAGATGTGGGTACCAGAATGCTAGGCTTTTCATCAAATTGGAAAATTTGGATTTTTATGTGAAATGCCTGGGTTTGTAAGTGTTAGGAGCTAACGAAATACAGATGGCTTTGGCAGACTGGCCTGAAGGCTGCCCCTGGCCAGGGAGAAGCCTGGCTCCATGGTGCTCCCCACCCCATGGTTCTCACCCGACAGCTTCGCCCCAAACATATTCAGGAACATGGTGAAGTTGATGGGTCCCGAGGCCTCCTTGAGCATGGCATCCAACTCATCATCCTTGACGTTGGTTTTGCCTGTTGCCAATACAAGACCGGGGACGCTGGGTAGGAATGTCACACTCACCCTGGCTGTTCTTGTTGTTGATGTGTCTGCTGTCCCCACTGGCCTCCCAACTCCATCATTCTCCAGGTGACCCCAGAATCAAGTTGGGGAGACCAGAAGGAGGGCAGTGAGCAGATGGGGGGGACACTTGGCCCAAGTGTGGTGGGGTACAGGTTCTGCACGTCGGCATAACCCCAAAACCTGAGCCCCGGGGAGATGGACTGCTGAGGAGGAGGAAGAGGCCACGCATGGGGTCCAGGGAGACTGTGATCTCACCTGGGTGTAAGGGGGCCCAGAGGAAAGAAACCTACCTGTCCTCCCCTGGGACTGCCTCAGGCTGAGAACATGGCCCCAGATGGGAAGTTGAGGGGGAAAGGGCCAGTCTTTGGCTCTTCAGAGGAGCATAAGTTGGCTCCACATTCTCTCCTGGGTCTGTTTCTGGGCTTCCTTAGCATGCCTGGGGGCAGGAGGGCAAGCCTCCCCAGGCAGTGGTGTCCCTCTGGGAGGTTAGCCCTTCCCTGGAGCTTTTGTCCCAACCCCCCCATCCATGATGCCTGTGCTTGGGCATCTAGTGATGCCCTGGCCAAACCAGAGAGGGATTTCTCCCCCAGGGGAGACCCGGCCCACCTCCTCATGGCCCATGGGACGTGGGATGTCAGGTCAGGCTGTAGGGCCCAAGCGTAGAGCAAGGCTCTCCAGGGCTGGAGGACATTCTGAGGTGGGGTGTGGCGGGGTTCTGCCCCACGGCACATACCCAGGGAGGCATAGGTGTCCTTCAGATCCTCCTTGTCAATAAAGCCATCTCGGTTCTGATCCATCAGCGTGAATGCCTGAAACCGGAGCCAGGGTGACTAGGTTGCCAGGCCAGCCACACCATGTCAGGACAGGCATCTACTCTCATTGGCTCTGGAGCGAGGCTCCCATAGGGTCTTTGGGTCACCTGCCTTATGATTCCCAGGGGGCCCCTGAGTCAGGAGCTTCTGGGTGGAGGGGACCTGGGACAAGAGCAAAGCCTCACCTCCTTGAACTCCTGGATCTGGGTCTGCTCAAAGTTGGAAAAGACGTTGGATGATGCTCTCTGGGCCCGAAGGCCCCCCCCTTCCTTCTTCTTGGTCTTCCTGCTGGCCTAATGTGAGAACAGCAAGGCTGAGGGCCCTCCAGGCTGGCATTTTGGAAGGCAAGGCAGAGGACGCAGGGACTATAGCACCAGGGGCTCCGGGGGAACCCCAAGCCCGGGTCCCTGGGCTGGGATGGCTGTAGGCGCCCGGTGTGGGTGTGAGGAGCCCTGACAGCACAGCACCTGCAGCTCATCTCGAGCTTTGCCCTGCCATCCAGCCAGGAGGAACCAGCTGGGCCTGAATACCCAAGGAGCCAGGGCCCTCGTCTCTCAGCCCCAGACCTGCATGGAGACGGCCACGGAGCACAGATTTCCTCCCCACTGCACACACCCTCACGCATGTAAACAGACTCAACTTGTGTGCACACACACACACACACACCACACGCTTGTGCAGGTGACGCAAGCGTACATAGTCACAATCGCACACTGTGCATAAACACACACACACTCACACTCGCTCCTGCCCCAGTGGCCTGCGGGCCACACTCACCATGCCTAGGTCTGCCTGATGCGATGGTCTGTGCCCTCCCTGCCTAGGTCGCCTGTCTTAAGCTCCTACCCAGTCCCCCAGGACACTTCGGGCTCCGGCTGCCGCTCCCTACAAGGGCAGGCACAGGGCTACCCTGGGGACTGGACAACTGCAGAGTGAGCTTTGGCAGCTGGCGGGTGACTCAGATGCCCATCCTGCCCTGCCCGGCAGGGCCCCCAGGTTTCCAGGCACCTCCCCACTGCCCCTCACCCAGAAGCTTTTGTTCTCCTGTTTTCTGTACATCTCCAGGGCCACCTACATGTGGACCAAAGACCCGGGAGCTATGGGAACTAGAGGAAGGAGCACCTTTCCCAGATTTGCACAAAGTTACTGTGAGTGGCCTTTGGGGCTGGTCACCATGCACTCCTCGAGCATGTTGTGTGCACCCTCACCTATCTGCCTCGGCGGCAGATAAGTCCCAGGGCCCCGTCCCCATGGCAGGGAACTCCTTGCCTGGAACACAGTGGGGATAGCATTTCTGGGATGAAGGGCCATCCACATGGGCTGGGCCCTGGGCCGTTACTCGGGCAAGTTTCCCCCCTACATCGGGGCCCAGCAGGCAGAAGCTGGGGAGGGCACACAGGTGCCTGTGAATGGTGCCAGGTACCAAGGTCACCACAGAATCAGGGGCTGGATGTCCTGGTCTTGGGTTGAGGGGAGTGAAGGTCAGGGGTGGGAAAGGACGGGGGTGGGGTCTGTAAGCTGAGCAGGAGGAGGGCGCTTGGTGGCCGAATGAAGTGGGCAGGCAGGGTTCTGCAGTTCCATACCTGGGGAACAAGCCCTCAGAGCCCCCGTGCCTGCACCTGGTAGGGAAACATCAGCTGCAGCCAGTCTGCAGGTGCGTCTGGGAACCACATCACATGTGAGTGCCACTGTAGCAGGGGTCGTGCCCCTTGGGGCACATACCTTCCATCACGTGACACCCCTGAGGCGATCCCAGGGGCAGCTCACTGTTGGTCTCCACTAAGTATGAGACAACAGACACTGCGCAGGACCTAGGGAGGCGTGACATGCCTGGGGGGACTTGGGGGCTTCCTGGGGTTCTGCCTGGAGGACTCCCAGAGGGACAACCTGTCACTAATGTGGGAGACCCAGGCAAGGCTGCACTCTCAGCTGGGCAGGGTCTGACCGTGATGCCTGGGGAGACCCTAGCAGGGCTGCAGGAGTGGGGACCACTGCAACGAGAAGGGAAGGCATGTAGGATCTGTGCTCAGAAGGCCCCTGATGTGAGGAAGGCCAGGAGACGCTGGCAGGGACCCTGGGGAGGTTTCCCGGGCTGGTAGCACTAAAGATAGCCGTGGAGTCTGGCTCCTGGGAGAATACTGGGATTCAACACGGACAGCTGGCCCTGACAGGTGCAGGGGCATCAGCAGGCGGTCCCAGTGTTCTGAGCCAGGTGGGAGCCCCCTCAGCCTTCAGGAAGGGCCCTGGGCCAAAGGAAGTCTCCCTCAGCTTTAGGGGTCTTCCCTGGGCAGCCATGTACATAGGGCACGTGTGCCTGTGTGTGCCCTCCACTGGTCCCCTCCCCGTCTCCCCCGCCCCACTGGAAGCTACTGGTATGCGCTCCCTACCAGCACTCTGGCCTCATCTTCAGCCCAAGAGACATTTATTTTTGATTCTGGAAGCAGGAGTTGCTGAGGAGTCCTGTCTATTTTAAAATCCAGGGAAGGGAAAACACACTCATCACCCGAGGTCATCTGCCTAGCTGCTCAAGGGGGCAGGGGTGCGCACTCTGGATTGCCGCATGGCATGTTGGTGAAAGAGGGTTATTTTGTGCCTCGTGGGGTCAACATGTGCGTACAGTCTCCTCAGGGAGCAATGAGGGGGCTTGGGAAGGCCCTCCCCCCACCCCAGGCCAGGCAGAAGCACCAGTGGAGGCATCAGGCAGAGGTCTCAGAGTCCTTAGAGAAGAGCCTGGTGACCCTGTAGGATGGGCCTCCTTATTCCCACCGCCATCCCAGGAAACAGCGCAGGTGATTTTCCAATTTCTCGGCTGGAGTCCCAGAGCCAGGACTCCAGAGCAAGCTGCTGAGCCAGAAGGGCCTCCCTCCATGCAGATTTACTGAGCACCTGCTTTGTGCCCTGGAGTTTTAGCCTCTGCATTCCATTCTCTTTAGATTTATAGTTAAGCTGTCTTTGGAAACAGAAGGGTATGGAAGAGTAGGGAAAAGTGGGCTCCCTCCGTCGCATTGGGGGCCCTAGTGAGCCCCAAACTCTGGTTCTCAGGGAGCTTCTGCCTGGATCCGTGCAGGGCCCAAGGGGGTGAGCGGTCCTCCTGTCAGCCCACCCCCACCTGATCGCCTTGGGAACCATGTATCCGCACAGCCAGCGCTGTTGGGAGCCTGGCTGGCTGGTCACCACTGCCCCATCTTTGGGCAGTCTCTGCACAGCTGCAGCTGACCTGTCACGTCTTCACCAGGACTAGCCACAGAAGTGGGGGAAACCGGCTACTCTGAGGGGGACAGAGTAACTGGCAGGTTTACCCCCTACCCGTCCCACTTAAGCAGCAGAAGTGGGAGAATGAGGGCCCATCTGGGGGCTCTGTGGACCCAGGGGCCCTGACTGAGGTGGACCTTGGAGCTTCGAACTGCAGGGTCTGGAGGGCAGCAGTCAGGGAGCAGGTCTGCTAGCTCCCAGGAAGACCCCAGCCCCCTGTGCGGGAGAAGCTCCTGCTCTGCTCTGCCAGGGGACTGGGGACTGAGACTGGGGGCGGGGGGTGGCTGGAAGGGGCTCCCAAGGCAGTGCCGTCCCAGCAGGGGGTTCTGAGGCCACCATAATCAGCGAGGCCTGAGTGCAGAGGGTCTGGCCACAGCCCCCGCCCTCCCCCCCCCCCCCCCCAAATGCGCGAGGAGCCTGGGGACCAGGGGGCCAGCGCTCAGGTCACACTTAGTACCTAGACCCGGTATTCCCTGTCCAAAACCTCAAACCCCTTTCCCGGCCAAGGCCCCCTCCCAGTCGGTCCTTGAGGCTGACCTGGGACGGCCAGGGACCTGGACAGGCCTGGGCGAGGCCTCAGGCCGCACTCCAGCCGCCCGGCGTGGGTGGTGGTGGGCTCATTCCCCGACTTTCCAGGCCCTGACGGGAGAGCCCTGGCAAAGCAGGAGGATACGGTGCAATCTGTTTTACACTTTGTGACTTTGACTTGTAGTTTTCAAATATTTGGACATATAATGGGCGGGCTCGATTGCTGCTCAACCCGGCCTGACAGCGTCCGGGGCTGCAGGAGACGTGGCGGGAGGCCAGCGCCTCACACCCAGGACAAAATCACCCGCGCCGCCCAGCCAGAACCCGCTTGCGCGGCAGTCGCGCACGCTCAGCTGGTCGCGAACAGCGCGCCCGGTGACTTCCCCGCCCCGAGCGGGCGCACGCCGTTCCACCTCCGCCCACCGGGGGGCGCAGCCGTGCCCTTGCTCGTCGCCAACGGCGCATGCGCTCGCCCTGGTACGCTTTTACGTCTCCGCGGCTCTCCGAGCCCTTGCGGCGTCCTCCGCTGATTGTGCTTCCGGCGTGAAGGTTACCGACAAGATGGTGCCGCCGGTGCAGGTCTCTCCGCTCATCAAGGTGACTAGGCTTTGCGGCCGTCGCCGCGTGCGCGACCTCAGGGAACCCTGGACCCGCGCCCCCGCGGGTGCGACCTGCCCTCCCCCCTCCCCCCTCCCCGCGCTCCCCCGATCCCCGCCCTGCGCTTCCGACCCCGCCGCGGGCTGAGACCCCCACCGGACCCTGACCCCGCCTCTGACGGCCCTTTCCCCGCAGCTCGGCCGCTACTCCGCCCTGTTCCTCGGCGTGGCCTACGGAGCCAAGCGCTACAGTGAGTGACCGCGGGCGGCCGCGCCGCTGTCTCGGCCGACGGCAGAGGGGGCGCTGGGGCTTCTCAAAGCCTGTTGGGGCTCCCCAGGGCCGTCTGCTAAACCCCAGCGAAGGGCGAGAAGGGGGGCAGAGTGGGAGGCGCCAGAAACCCGAGCGGACGCGGCAGGTGTGTGGGTTGATTTGGGACTGGCTCAGGCGGTCAGGACCCCAAGTGCATCCTGATGCAGGGCAGCCCCCGGGGAACAGAAAAACGGTGAGTTCCAGTTGGCACGTGGTGCCAGGTGGGTGTGGGAGGAGTGCTGCGGTCTGACGCGGGGCGGCCTCTGGCGACCTAAAGGACTGGGCGAAGTACGAGCCGGGTGGCAGCGGGGACCCTGCAGCTGCCCTCTGGGTTGGGCTCTCTGCGGAGCGGGAGCGGCAGCGGCAGGCCTTCTACGTGGAAGTAAAGGGTGGGAAGCCGGGGCATCGGCATTTCCAGTGCACCTGAAGAGACTGAAGCCCCGCTAGGCAGCGTTTCAGTGAGGAAGTTCAAGTGTCTCCCCACCTTCCCGTTTGCCTTAAACAGGCTACCTGAAACCCCGGGCGGAAGAGGAAAGGAGGCTCGCCGCTGAGGAGAAGAAGAAGCAGGATGAACGGAAACGGATTGAGAGAGAGCTGGCAGAAGGTACTCGAATTACTGCATCGTACAGATTTGCCCTCCGCCGGATTTTAGACACACAGTGCTGCTTCGCGGGGCCCCACTGCGGAGGGAGAAGCCCCCTCTCTTCATCCAGCACCGGCCCAGTGGGTCCTGGGGGTGTGTGGGGGCGGGGGGGGGGGGGGGGGGGGGGGGGGGGGGGGGGGGAGGTGGAGCAGAGGCGTGGGTGTGGGGACATGATGACACCTTGCCTTTGGTGAGGCTCAGGTCCCTGGGCCTTAGAGGTTAGTTGTCTGGGAATGTGACCTGGTGGTGCCACCTGAGAGGGGCCCACAGGACCGGAACCAGGCACACCCATCCCACTGACTGCTCTGGCAGGTTCCAGTGAGAACATGCGGGCACAAGGAAGACCAAGGACGAGGCTTTAAGCAGAGCGTAGTCGGGCTGCACCGTAACTAGATACTGGATGATGTTGAGCTGAGATGGTCTGTTGGGATCGCCTGAGGCTGTAATAACACGTATGTTTTCTTTTGAACCTTTCAGCCCAAGATGACAGCATACTAAAATGAGCCTGCCTCCCTGGAAGTGTGGATGAATAAACTTTTCTTTCTTGTTATGTGATGCTCTCCTGGACTGTCCCCGCTTGTCTCATTTCTGGACTTGGGCTTGGTTCATGTGCAGTGGGAGTGGGGATGGGGAGGGGGAATTCAGAAGAACTGACTAGCCATCACAGACTCAGGATGCAGTGCACAAATGAGCCTGTGAAACTCCTCCACTTCTCTTGGGCATCTGGGGGGGGGGGGTGGCCCAAAGGGAGCAGTTTATAGCAGCGACACAGCCAGCTTGGGTGCTGTGAGTGCTGCTTGGTCTTTGCTAAGCCCTAGGCCACCCGTTGGGTGGGCCGTGCAAGTGTCGGGATGGGACCTGGATCTCTATCCCCCTGTTGTGAATCCTCTCCTCGACCCACAGGAAGGCATGTGGCCGCCCGGGGACCCGACTGGGGTGCTGCACAAGCTCGTTATCGGACTCCGGCTCTTGCCGAGCTGATAGCCGGGTCCTGCCCCTCCTGGCTGTGCCCCTTCCAATCTCTGAGGCCTGGTATTGGGATGTTACTATTTCCCAGTCACAGGACTTGAGCAGATTTCCCGAGGCTTTGAGCCCAAATTTCATTGGCGAGACGAATTCATTTGCAAATGTGAGGAGAAAATGAGAAGCAAGCATATAAACACTTTAAAGCCTTGGTTTTAGTTTTGGTGAGGTTTGAGTGAGGCCACCTCAGCTCCTCCTGAATTCGGTGGGATCTGTTCCAGTGTGGCCAGCTGGTGCTGAGTCCCTCTGGAGGAGCACCTGGCCCTAATCACAGGCGGTCACCAGGTGTCACTGCTGAGACGGAAACTGACTGGATGGCTTGGTGGGGGGTGCTCCCCATTCTCTCTCCCCACCTACCCCATGAGCTCTGGAGCCCTAGGAGAGGGCTTGGGTGGCATCTGAATTGGCCCGACGGCGACCAGTCTCAACCCGCAGCTGAGAGGAGGGGTTAAGTGTCTAGTGTCTGGGGAACAAATGCTTTGGAGTTCACGTTATAAGGACTTCAAGTTAAAAGCCCTTAACTTCTACCAGATAATCAGTACCTGTTTCAAATGGGAGCAGGGTTCTGTTTGGGTGTGGCTATGCCAATTCATAGCATTAAGGGAGCCCTCACTCGTACAGGAGTTGGGCACACCCTAGGCATGGCAGTGTGCCCTCAGTGCACCTCTGTGCACAGGGCTGTTAAACGTATTTATGCACAGGTCACTTGTGTCTGATCACTGCCTCACTCATGGCCTTGAGCTTTCTGGCAGAATTTTCCAACAGGTCATATGTGATGTGCCTGTAATTTCTGCCGAATTAAAACAAGGGTGATGTATTTTGTTTTTATTCTGAATTTCTGGTCCTATTTTCCCTTAAACCAGATAGGCAATGGTACCTACGTATCTTACTTGCCCATACACACATAAATGTGCAGTCGTGAATGTTCTCACCCAATGCTTTCAGACACAGTTCGCAGACCCTTTCCGAAGATCTCTGTGGTATTGCTATGTACCCAAAAGATGGATGAGCGTAAGGTAGGCTAAAGTGTTTAAATTATTCATCGTTGACTTTCATTTATAAAAACGCAAGCCTTAAAAAAAAATTCAAAATATTCAAAATTGTCTTCAGTCACTTCGTTGGGCTTCCTAACCTGTAGCAAAGGGTTAGAGGTGGAGTCCCAGGAGGTGTACGGGATGAAAGAGCGGTCCGAACCCCCGGAGCAGCTCACAGGATGCAGCAGGTTGAAGACTTGGGGGCGGGGCCGCCATTGCAAATCTCTGTGCCCCCTGCAAGAGAAAACAAGACGCTGAGTGAGAACCGTGTGCACTGGCCTTGCTCCTTCCCTTCCGCCCCTTGTCCTCTACCAGCCCTGCAGGATGAAGGGCAGAGTGTGGGACCTGCGGGGAGCCTAAGCCGATTAGTCTAGCCAGGGCTCAGCCTTTCTTATCTTAGCTCTGGTGACACTTTCAGTTCTGCCGCCCCCGCTCCCGCCCCCCCCCCAACCCTGAAACAGTCTTGTTTACATTGGTTCCCTCCCCATAGCAGGAAATTGCAACAGAAGTCCCAGAGCTGAGGTGGCCAAGCACAGGCAACAACTTCGGGGATTCCATCCTGGGGGTGTGCTGACTCATTGCGATGAAGCCACATTCCCACAGCAAGGGGAGGGGCGGACAGGTAAAGAAACGTTCTGAGTCGGCACAGGGAAGGGTGTCATGCACACTTGGCTCTTTTAGCTCACTTTTTTTCTTTTAATTTTCTTTGCTCTTTTTTAAATAGCTCGCTTATTTTTTAAGGTCTTCTGTTTTGTTTCTGAGGGTAGCGTGGGAGTAGAGGTAGATTTTCTGATTAATTAGGAGGGAACTGCAGCCTGATGGTGGAAGAAAGACCTGTTGAGAGTTCACGATGTTTGCCTGGGATTTCCTCCCCTTTACAAGGGAAGTAACGTTCAGTTACTTCATTAGGGAAAATGAAAGCTCCTGGCTAGAGACACAAGGAGACCTTCCAGTCTGGGAGTGTTGGGTGCACTGCCTGAGCAGGGCCGATCCTGAGGGATGGCCGCCCCTGCCGTGAGGAACCAGAGCACGCCAGCCACAGTGCTGTCTGGCACCTGCCTTTTCTTGAGACTTGACTCTGGTCTTTAACTCCATCTCTTCATACACTTCAACGTGGGGACTAACCAAGTGCCCGCCCCCACAGCCCAGACCTTTCTTGACTGTTGTCCTCTCCTCCTGTTGCTGCTTCTCCTCCTCCAGGGCCTTCACTTTGGCCTCGTACTCATCAGCCAGAGCCTTCCACTCCTTCCTGTTGTTCTGTAGTCGGTCGAACATGGGCAGGATCTCCTCGTGGAAACGGGAAAACTCCTGGACAGGGAACGAAGAAGTTGCCCACACCGTCTGACTGTTCCTGGGCCGCTGGGGCAGGTGGTCTCCCCACGTCTTGGCCCTTGCTGGCACCAGCCTGTCCCCCCACCACCTTGCCCCACTCCCCCAAGAAGAGAACCTGGGAGGGGGTCTGCCTGCCACTGAGACGTCACCTTCCCAGCAAAGCCTTGGAAATGGAGAAGATAGGATGGGGAGACGTGGGGTATGAATGCTTATGGCACAGATGAGGCCCCCAAGAATAAAATAGAAAATAACAATGGCAGAAGGGGAGTCCCTTGGCAGAGGGAGTGGGAACACGGGGGCAGACAAGCAAGTCCCGAGGCTCCTTCTCTGGTCTCTTATGCACACATCACCCATGTACACATGTGTGCACACACAAACACACATACAATCTGTGGAGCATGTGGATGGACTTGGGGAAGGCAGTGGGAGGGGAGCGGTGTAGTGGGGCTGTGACCTGTGACCTTCAGGACTGGGATGTACATCCTGGTCCTGCCTTCCTTCCCAGGACTTATAGCCCCAATGAGGGGGTAGCAAAGGGAGATGGTGTTTCAGTAAAGGGGAGCACAGGAGCTGTGGGGGTCCAAGGGGGGGTGGGACTGGTCCAGTCAGGGGTGACTTTACTCAGAACCAGACAACCTCCTCCTCAGAGCGTGGGACCCTGCAGCCCCCAGGACCAGATGGAGTGGAGTCCATGGGCATGTGGGCATCACTTGCGGGGGGGGGGGGGCTCTGACTGCAGAGCCCTCCCCACCCCCGCCAACATACTCCCTGGCCAGTGACGTCACAGCACATGTCTTCAGCACAGTGTCCCACTGTCACTTGTGCAACATGTGTTTGCTGGGCAAGGAATTCCCAGCTGTGACAGGTGGACCCATCCCTGTCCTCCTGGGTTCACAGGCACTGAACAAATGCACCCACAGATAAACTGCAGTCAGTGCCCTGAAAATAACACGCAGGCCACAAGTGGGGGTGCCTTAGGGTCTTGGGAAAGCACATTTGAGGTGAGACCTGATGGAGAGCAGGAGGACCCTCCAGAGGGAGGAAGCCAGTGGGTAAGCATGAAGTGCTTCTGAGGGGCTGGCTAGGTGAAGGTGGGAAGGTTCTCCTTGGGGTGACGCTGAGGATTTCAGATTTTAAGTGCAAGTCTGAGGAGATAGGGGCTATGGCAAGTCAGGCCATTGGGTGAACCCACACCAGTCCCCTCCTCCTCCTGTGAACCCAGTCAGGCCCTGCTCACCTTGTACACGAATGTGCACACAAAGTCGATGAAGCCAACTTGTAGTTTGGGGAGCTCGGCTGCCTTGTTCCGGTCCATCATTGGCTTGGTTGGGGGGGGGGAGCAGAGACACTTTCTCTGAGCCCACAGGACTCACTCAGCCCCACCCAGCTTGGATGAACATGTCCACAGAAACACAGATTAAGCAGTGTCCATGGGATGAAGGTGAAGCCTCTGGCCTTGGGGCCTGGCCTGCCTTGATAGATGCTGGACCTTGAAAGGAGACAGCTAGGACACCCCTGTCCCCTCTGAGCCATCTAGTAGTTCCAGGGCTAGGTCCACCATGGTGCTCCCAGTTCCCTGTCCCCTGAGCCCCTGTCTCCCAGTCCCCTGGGAGCTATCCATGGTGCTGACTCAAGACCTGACTAGAGACCCCTGGGGGGCAAAACTCAGATGCCTCTGGAGGGGCTGTCCATACTGTCTACACACTCCAGGCTGCCTGAGTTGGCCCTTGCTAGTCTGTTCTTCATAGCTACCCACTGTCTGAAGCTCCATGTGGCAAGGGTGAGTCATGCAGGACCTAGAGGCCTGGCCCCCAAGGGACTTGGCTGGTTGGTCAGGATACCCTTACCTGCAGTCTGTACCTGGCCCCAAAGCCTTCTCAACCCCATAGGGTTGAGACAGCTACTCATTGACTGGAGTTGACTTTCCATTTCTTCCACATGCCTTTTGGACAACACTATGCTTTCCTCATACCCTTGGTTCCTATGCAGGTGCCATTGTAGTCTAGCAGCATATTCCTGGCCCCACATTGCTGACCCGAAGATCTCAGCATTGCCCATCTGCCACGGTGTGGGCCCCTGGGCTGCAGCCACTGGCTCCCTCTGGCATCGTACTCTTCCCAGTTGAAGGCCTTTCTGGAGCAGCTCACAGCTTGGCTGAGGTTCTGTAGAGCTTCCTAGGCCATGGAGGCTCTGGGTTACGGGCCACAGCCTGCTTCTACCAGCTTTGATAATGGCTTTCCATCTCTGCATGGGCACCACAGCTTTATCCAAACCCTATTATTTCTATAACTTTACCCATTTCCTGAGTCACCTAATTTCACACTCAGCTCATGTCACATGACCCCACAAAGTGAGACTGAGGTCCCAGGACCCCCAAATCCCTGGGAGTCCCCTGTTTCCACTAAGTGAGGCCTGAGTTTCCCAGGGACCACAATGGGGATTCTGGAATTAACACTCACAATGGGCTGCTGATCCAGAACTGTCCTTTCCAAGTCACCTTGTTCCCAGAACTCAGCTGCCACCAACAGAGCTACCTGGGAGGTACGTAAAAGGCAGTCATCCTGTGGAGCTTAGTGCTTGGTCAGAGAATGACCAAGGAGGCTCTTGCCTGGAGCCTCTGTGTCCTCAGTCTTCTCTGCCCCAGACCCTCTGGGATCCCCATTCTTCAGACTGGGCCTAATACACAGTGAGCACATTGGCACTTTCCAATATGGTGGCTGCTGGCCCATCCCCAGAGCAAAGGGGCAGCCCTCAGTGCTACTTGCAAATGAAGGCTCTGTCTGCCTATCTCAGGCTTCCCCTAGATGCAATCCCAAGAGGCACTGACAAGAGGTGGGGGCCCTGCATGACTTCTGACCTTGCTCTGGACTTCCCAGGGCTTGGTGATGGCAGACAGGTCGCACGCCGTCATCATCATGGCCCTGCAGGGAGATGGAGCTCCAGGCATGCCCAGGCTGGCCTCCCTACCTCCCCTCCACCTCCACCTCTGGGCACAGGTCCAAGCTCCAGAGTCCTTCTAGTAGTAGGCATCTTACTGTACACACACACTTCAGCCCACCCCCCTCATACTCCACCTCTCCCTCCTTCTTGCAGCTACAAACTAAAATCAACAAATATTTATCAGGCAGCCTCTAAGTGCCCGTGATTTACAGTTTTCTTTGGTGGATCTCTGGGATAGGCCTGGGGGAGGACTGTAGTTCTGAATCTCCATTTTGTACATGCATCTGTGGAGGTTCATAAAATAAGTAAAATACTGCCAAATCCACAAACTAAGGAAATGGACTGTCTGACCCCAAATCCTGTACGGTCTTCCCAGAAGAGGAGGAGCAGGTTAGATGGAGCATTTATTTTGACGTGTCAAAGCCATTTAGAGATCAGCTGTTCTTGTTGCGGGTCATGGGGGTGGGGG